TCAGGAGAAGTCACAGTTGGGGGCCATTTCCGCTCGCGGTGTCGGGGCGCTCCCATCAATTTCGCTTCCATTCATTTTCTAGGGGGAGTGCTGGATGCGATCCTGCATTGCATGGTGGGATTGATCCATCAGCAGCTAGGGCGGCGGCATGTTGGAAAAGTTCCGGAAAGTCATCATGTTATCCAATAAGGTAAAAGTAACGCTGGGCAACAGCATCGGGACTGTACCTGTGTTTATGTAACATGCTTACCATGAGTTCCATCAGACACATACATAATGTTCTGGCTTAATAAATGATGGCATCTGCCAGGAAAATGTATTGTGTATTATGCAATTGTGAAATACATGAAATCTCGTACCAGGAAAGCACCACAATTGACAGTTGAGATTTATTGCAAAGCAATTCCCCATTCCGTTTTCACAATTTTTTTGTGTGTTTTTAGTTTGACTGCATAAGATACTACAGAGACGCATTAATTAATAGATTAAACACATATACGTCACCATAAAGACATCTGCCAAATTTTCCCTGCTGGATTTAAATGGGAATTCCCACCAAGCAGCCAACTTGAGGGAGTGATGTAATCATGAGCGTCTGACTTGAATGTTTTAATTACCTCCCTACTTCTGTCATAATTACAGGTAGTAAGAAACACCTCAATGGTTACAATCAGTTTTACTCATTGTTGTTGTTTTCACCACAGAAGCTCATCTTAAGGGTTAATCTTTGCTGAAGATGTTTATGTTAATTTCTTCCTCTGGCTTTTTATAATAGAAATGTTCCACTGTTTTGGTTTCAGAGTTTTTGATGAGAAAGTGCTGGCCCCGTCTCCCCCTTACTGCAATTTGAAACATGAATATTGCTGTGATTTCATATTCCTCTGCTAAGCTCCCCAGCTCTGAGACACAAATAAACACTGCCTTTCAGAAGTGAAATTGGTCTACAGTGCAGTTTGTGATATCATTGTGGATTGTTGGGTACACACAGTGCCTTAATGGCTGGGTAAATAAATGGTTACTGACAGCAGGAAATGTTTCTCAGCATCTTGACTTGTGAATGAGTTTAACAGCTTCAGATGGAGGGGCTAGCTTGTGATATCTTTAGCTTGTCAGCTGGCTATGACCTAGATAGAACTACTGTGTGTTACGGATGAAGCTACACGCTATAGTATCGTTTCGAGGCCAACTCTCGTCATGTGTGACATTTCTTCTAGAGAAGAGTGAAGTTGCCCTTTTTCATTAATGGATATTTTAATTCATTTTTCAGAATTGGAAGGAGCTACCCTACAGTATCAGTAATTTAGTGATTTGGATAATCACATTGGCTGTGGAGAGAATAACATTTCTTGTTGGTTTAAACAAGTCATTGATTGAAAGCGTCGAAGAGTGTAGCTTCACCCCAGCAGGGTTCTATAAAATTCAGTCAGAGCTCTTGAAGAGGCAGGTGTAAAAATCTGTCAATCCATCAGCATGGCAGGGACACTTGTTTTATACAGTGCCTGAGAAGTACACCTGGGGTCACTCTGGTTACGGTTGTCTTGGACACAGATATGGGCTTGCCCATGGAGTAAAATGGGACTTCCTTAAACCACCCAGCAGGCTAAAGAAGGCCGCAGATGAGAGTGTGATGAGGTGGGAAATGGCGCCGAGGTGTGGTGTGTGAACAGACAAAGATGTGTGAAATCAAAATGGTACGTTTGCGCAAGTGGAAAATTCCTCATACATACCATATTGTCACGGGATCGAAACTGTAAAACACATTTTCACAAAAATAGTTGCACATACTTTTTATTATGAAGAATGGAACCTTTACAGATGTGTTATTTATCAAATGCTTTGCCATTTACACCTTGCTGATTAATTTAGTAAATTTTCAAAATTTGTGGTGTTAGAAATCCACTTTGGGAATACAATCTCAGCACCCTGAAGAAAGACAGACTCACTCTATCTTCCTTTCTCTCTAGACATTCCACAAAACTTTATGAAGGTGTTGTTTGAAATCTCTCCTTTAAGCAGCTGAAGTAGAGAAGTCAGAAGGAAAAATTATTTTCTAGTCCAAACAGAACCAGCGTACTCACTTGTAAGTTGTTCATTTTCCCAACGCTTACATGTTTGATATTTTATGGAAATATTTCTCATACTGAGATTTCTCCAATTGCTTTATTCTGTCTTAAATCACCCATTACTTATCAAGGGAAACTTGGAGCTCTCATCCTTACGTTATCCAGCAACAGAGACAGGTATTTACTAAAGCAGTTAAAAGTTATGAAATGTAAGTAAAATAAAGCAATTGACCTTCTGCTGGCTAAAATCCAAGAATCACTTACCTCAAACTGTGAGTTATATATTTCTTCTCCATATCTCTTAGCTCACTAAAATATTAATTTTCCTTAGTTTAACTGAGGCTGCACATTTGTTATTCCAGAGTTTTACTGAAGCCACACAGAAACTCAAATATTTTTGAGCCTTTTTAAATTTTTGAAAGATGACAAATTGTCAAGGTGTTCTGCAGTGCTACTATCGATTTAGTTGGATTTATTTAATAATGTTGTGGAAATAAGCTGATGTGAAGATGGATTTCTGTGTGTGTTAGTGCATGTTTAATATGAGCATTTTAATTTGATTTAAAATGCTGCCAAAGTCCCAGAGATAGTCAGCTGTGACCCCAGTTCAGCCCTAAAATATAAAAAATGCTGCATGCTGATCCCAGTTCAGTTACAGCCATAAAATATAAAAAATGCTGAATGCTGATCCCAGTTCAGTTACATCCCTAAAGTATCAGAAATGCTGCATGCTGATCCCAGTTCAGTTTATAGCCCTAAAGTATCAGAAATGCTGCATGCTGATCCCAGTTCAGTTTACAGCCCTTAAAATATCAGAAATGCTGCATGCTGATCCCAGTTCAGTTTACAGCCCTAAAGTATCAGAAATGCTGCATGCTGATCCCAGTTTAGTTTACAGCCCAAAAGTATCAGAAATGCTGCATGCTGATCTCTGTTCAGTTTACAACCCTTAAAATATCAGAAATGCACCATGCTGATCTCAGTTCAGTTACAGCCTTAAAGTATCAGAAATTCTTCATGCTAATCCCAGGTCAGTACCCCCTCATTGCCCTGGCTTGCTTATTGAGACAGTGAAAGCACTGAATAGTCTGTAATGCTGCATGACAGGAAATCAAAGGGGTTGTTTTAATACTGCTGGGAAACATGGCAGGTCCACCAACAAACATTCAGAGCAGTACTGAGGCCAGCCATGCTAGCACACTCAGGGCCAGATTTAATAAAGAACTGTGACTGCTTTTCAGGCATAAAAGCAGCCGCTGAAACGTTGAGGTATTTAAATGCTATTTACTAAACAGTCGCAATGGGCTAAAATCGCTATTAAGATGGAATTTGTGGCAACTACATCGCTTTGTGACTTTACTCTTGATTCAGAGTAAAATCTGTTCATTCAGATGAATACCTGGGGTGAAGGTGCTAAACCAGGGTTGAGATTTTGCAAATGAGGCTGGTTAAGTCTAATTTCTTCTAATTTAGTAAGGCTTTCCGTGTTCGTGACTCTCTTCTTTGCGTGGGAATTTTTACAACTTCTAAAAGCAGGTGGAAATTTTGTCCTGGCACAGGCTATAGTTCCCACTGTATAGAAGGCATACAGTTAAGTTGATCTCTACGCCACCTATAGAAGTTATTATAGCCAGGACTGGATATAGTAGACAAAGGCAAAGGAGATTAAGAAATGAGATGGTCGTCCGTCCAAACATGACCCTCTCTCAGGTAAATGAACAGCAAATAGTGACACGATATAGGTTACAGCGTCACAGGATAATCACACTCGAGGAACTTAAGTCATATACCCAAAGATATAATACTCTGTCGGCATTGGTGAAGCTACTGTTAACTTACTGTTAACTTAATGTCCTTGCGTCTGGATCTTTTCAAACTACAGTTGTGTGGCTTACAGGTGCGTTGTTCCATCACACAACGAGTACATGTTCAGAAACAGAAAACAGACATATCCCATGAATGTATAGGTTGTGTGTGACGTAAAACAAATAATCACAAATGTTGCAAAATACAATGGTTTGTGTCATTGCAGCTTTATTTTTAGGAATAGCTCTATCTACTGAAAGTCAGAGGGCGGAACAAGGGGAATGTGTTAGCTTGTTGTAATAACCATGTTCCAATTAGTGTTAATGTTCTTTCCGTTTTTGGACCACAAGCTGTGTCTTTTTTCCGCATTATGTTGTAGGAAAATTATTGTATGCTGTCTACCATCTTCTCTTTGCTTCATCTACTGTTAATTTAATAAATTCATAATAAAATGTATGAATTTATGATCATCTAATAAACATTTATTTTGAATATGTCACTCCAAACTTTCTTGTCTTGGTTGGTGGTTAATTCCTATGCTGCAGTACAACATTATGAAGCTGTGCCTTGTTGGTCGTTAATATCTTTTACTCATCAGTGAATGAAAGTTTTATATTTCTTGCAGTTCCCTCTCTTCTTGCACCTGGTAGAGACTTGTTATTTGCATGTGTACACATGCCATATCCAACCTTTTTTATGGGTGTCTCCTGCCAAAAAAATTGTGAAATGATGGGACTGAAACATGAGATACGAGCACTGAGGTTATAATTCTAAAGACAGGGTAGACTGGGGTAAGAATTACCTAATTACAGGCAATAGCATTGCTACATGCACATTCCACTGTGTTAAGTATAAGTGGATTTATACCTTGGAACAGATACTAAAAACTAAAAACTCACAATCACAGAAAAGAATCAACACTTCTGTGACCCATTCTCACAAAAAAACCATACATCTAGAGCTTCAGAAAGCTAATATTAGTGTTTGAGCTGTCATTTGCAACCAACTTCAGCCAATTTTTTTTTTTTTGTGGAAGTTATTTTTTGGGTTTTTTCCACTTTATTTGACAGTTATGGTGGAGAGGCAGACAGGAAGTGTGGGAGAGAGAGACAGGGGAGGACATGCAGCAAAGGGCCCAGGCTGGATTTGAACCTGCGCCACTGTGGTAAGGCCTTGGCCTTATGTGGCATGCATTCTACCAAATGAGCTACTGGGGCAGCCCAACTGTAGCTAATTTAACTACCTAACAATATATGCCCTGGTGTAAGGAACACAGTACCTGGTCTTCTGAGCAGTGAAAGAGAGTAATAATGATCTGATGAATCGTCTTTTACTCCTGCATCTGGGTGGGTTTAAAGCTGGAGCGAGACATCAACCACCATCGCCTGTTCCTCTGTAATGGAAGTGGATCTGATATGGTGTGAGCAGCCACCATGCCAGAGTTCCTGGGTCCAGTTATTAATCTGCACTGCAGAACTATGGCCATTGAATACAAACAGGTGCTCACCATGGTGCAAATATTCCGAGACGATACGCGTTGCGCTATCAATAAACAGTACCAGTCAGTTTCAAGGGTGGTTTCTGGAACACCACAATGAAGTCAAACACCCTCCATGACCTTCCTAATCACTACATATAATCATTGTTTAATATTTATGGGAATAAGCTGAACGCAACATATGGAGTAGATATCGACCTTCATTTTTTTCTCGAGGGGCTGGAGGCTTTGCTTCTTGACTATTGTGTTCTAATATCCCACTAGAAACAGTTCAATCCTGCACGAGGGCCCTATGAGAGGCTCTAGTTGTCCAGATGGCAAAGTTAATACTCAGATATTTTTGGTTTCTATTACTTTGTCCTTGTATGTACCACATACAAGCTCTCAAGTGAACTTCAATGCTCAGAGAACATTTTTATTATTGATTACAACCCACGCTCCTGTCATTGGTAATGACTCATTTCTCGTTCATATTATTGTCTGGATTTCATCTTGTCGATGGAGATATACAATAGAAACTTGCTTTTGAAAGGCATGTTTCAGCGTGGTCAGAAATACTCAGTATTGTGTGATTGTGATAGACGTTCATTATTGCATGCTAATGGAATGTGAAATGTTTCAGCTCCGAAAGTCTTCTGACACTCCTGAAGAAGGGACAGCTGCAGGGGGCGTGAGGGAGCCGTCCCACGGAGATGGCCCCGTCCAATGTCCCGCCACCAGGAGATGTTCCTGGTAAGGGGCAAAACATCAAAGGATGGTGGTCCCCGGCTGATGACCAACGCAGCTGACCTGAGTGGGCCATGGCAGAGGGGCGGCAGGCATCTAAATTGAGACAGTTCATCCCTAGAGTGTCCCAAAAATGATTTTAACGCACCTGTGTGAACCCCTAACCTCCTCTTCTGTTGCCCTTTGATCAGGTGGCCTTTGGAATAATTTGATAGTGATACTCAAACCCCTAACTCTAGTCCAAAGACATCGATACCCATGTACTTGCTGTTGGAGATAATGTTAGCGAAGAGACCAGTTTTACTTCCTGTAAAATCAAGACTCATGTGAAGGGAGAGAAATAAAGATTCAACAATGAAGGGAATAGAGAATTGATTTTAAGTTAGTACGAATATTTAGTCAGAGAGAATATTTACTGTAAGCAGAGGGTGTCTGTACATTTTTACTGATGAAAGCATACCAGCATCTTTAAACACTACTGGAATATTTACTGACTGACTGTTTAAAAAGTATTAGAATATTTACTGACTGTTTAAACCATGCTGGGAATGTACAGACTGTTTAAAATATACTGTCATATTCACTGACTGTTCAAACTATACTGATGTATTTACTGACTGGGCGAAGTATATTGCCATGCTTCCTCACAGCAAAATGTATTTTGCCATAAATCTTGAGTAGCTGAAAGCATATCTGCAACTTTAATGATGATAAAAATTGTGTTGGAATATTTACTGGAAATTACAATCCTACTGAAATGTTAACATGTTTTGGAAAACATATTGGCATATTTACTGACAATGGAGAAGTATATCAGAATATTTGCTATTTACAGTGGAGCACCTGGCACTTCTTTGAACTCCCTAGAGATTATCACTGACAGAACCCCCCCAAACACCCCCCCACCCCCGACAGCGCCTCCAGTCCAGCATAGTGAGGTGGAATAAGTTGGTGTTCTGCCAACTCCCACAACTCATCAAAATTCTACTTTTCAATGTCTTCAGCTGGCCGTGGATGACTGATACACGCTGCATATTTATGAGCACACCTCATCTCCAAGTGAAACACATTTACCACGCTTTTCTGCCCTGAAATATCTACTCTCACAGCTCACAGTCCGGCAGACTGGTGGGAGGTATTGAGACGTACTACAGCACTGTGAACTGTGATTGCTCATAGATCACCAGTTTAAGACTGCTGTGCGCTCTTACCGTGCGTAACACTCTCACGTAGCATCAGTGTAAAACATACACTATACCACACCCTCACTGTACATTTACCATCGATATAAAATATACGCTGTAGTACACCCACACTGTACATTTACCATAAGGTTAAAACTATTCTGAAGTACACCCACACTGTGCATTTTCCATAAGGATAAAACTATACTGTCGTACATCCACACTGTGCGTACACAGTCAGGGAAGAACTATACCACAGTACACCCACACATATACCATCAATATAAAATACTTCAGTACATGGATAAACTCTACTGTCTCCAGCTAGCCAATCATTTGCTTTAGAAAACTGATGTATACAACAAATCTTTAGGTAAACCAGGTTTCCCTATCCAGTGTTTTATTTTCCCCAGCAATGTAATTTAAAATAAGACACAATTAGACTGGTGCTTTTGGGGTTTCACCTGGCTTTGATTGCAGGTCTTTCCAGATTGCTACATTTTGGAATAGCAAGGTTTTACTGTACCTATGTCACAGAGGCATGTCTAGAGATAGGAAAGGTATTTACAGTGTAGTGTATCAGAGATGGAGAGATAACACTAATAGAGTGTATGAGAGACAGAGTAAGTGACAGTCTGAGAGATGTAAAAGCACAGAGAGTGGAAGGCGATTCTCTGCAATCTTCGGCTGGGCCTTTCAGTGAGGCAGACAAGCAGTTTGAAAAGAAAAAACAGTGTAGCTCATAGAGCTTTAGATTTCAGTGGGCTGTGAACAGGAGCTTTCTGCTTCATCCCTCTGCATTGGGTCCAGTTCTGTTCTGCACAGTGTGGCTTAAATAAAGCCCCCGTCTCAGAGGAATGGGACACAAGGGCTGGGTTTTTAGCAGAAAGACCGGCCAACACTTTTCGCACAGCACCAGCAGTACACAGCTTTTTGTAATTCACTTGTTAATGGAGGATTTTTTTTTACAATGAGATCACCTTTGGCTCCCTGTCCAAAGCAAAAGCAATTTGGAAAACAAAAATAAGGAGCAAAGCAAAAAGCAAAAACCCTTCAACTCCCCCCACAATCCCAGACACATGGGATATTTTGATCCCAGAAGTGCAAAAGAAGGTCTGTTTTGTGATAGTGGAGTCTTTCCACACCTTCGTAGCGCCAAGTCTAGCATACCTGCAATATATTTTGAATATTCAGAGTGAAAAGCTGATAAGTCACGGCTGTAAGCGATTCTCCTCACAGTGTCTGTTGCAGATGAGGTCTCTGCAGACGCTCTGCTCTCTAAACCTACGGTCCCCTCCCCCCATCATTTTGATTTTATGAGAGGGAGATGTGTACAGCGCATTTTTCTTGTACACAAACATGAGAACGTAACCTTGTTTTATGAACAGAGCTGGCCGTTCACCCCGAATAAGCTTGTCATCTTGATAGTGATGAGCTCCTAACAGCACCCCTGCCACTGTTTTGCTCTCAGAGAGAAAAATGATGAGAAAGAGAGGAGGGAGGCAGGAGGGGAGGGATGCGGTTGTCCCGCTTAGTTCCCCCATCTTTATTTATCTCTGTTTTCCAGAGATCGACTGTGACCCCAACAGTGAGCTGCACAGGTAAGCTGCCGGGTACAGGGTGCTACCTTCCCATCATTACTCTGTTGATGGGGTGGGGTTTCCTCGAAGGAGCTGAAGGTGTGATTGGTTGAAAACAGCTAATAGCAGATGGGAAAAATGGACTGGCAGGCCAATAAATAATTGCATTCGTCTTTTGTAAGGAAGCATAATTGCAGTGGTGAGGCTTCACATGTTATATTTACTGGAATGGAGAAGAGATCAGCTCCTTCTCATGTGTGTAATTCACTGGGGACGAACTGTGCGTGTCATTGTAATTTTAGCATCCTTCTGTCGGAACGCAATATGAATGCGGCTGTGTGTTTAGCGCCCCCCTGTGGCCCCTCACAGAGCTGCTGTTTAGCATGCGCATGGCAGCTGCCCCATTATGCACTGCCTGACAGACAGCAGGTTTCAACATTTGTTTCATTAATGAATAATATTGTTTCATAACTGATCTTATTATTAATATTGTTTCATTACTGATCTTATATGCCACATCATTCTCTTGTGCTCCTCTGTGGTTTTAAGCCCCCCCTCCCCCTTCCTACCGCTTTAATTTTCTCTCAAACGGATAAAAATGATGGATAGACCAGCGGGATGAGAGAAAGGCTGTCTTGTGTGTATGCATGTGTGTGTGTGTGTGTGTGTGTGTGTGCTCGCAGTGATTAGACTCAGCAAATGGCGAAAGCAATGTGTCAGATAGCCACACTGAATTAGTGTGTTTGTGCATCCTATGTATATATTGTCAAAGCTCGTAAGGATGAGACAAATATGCAACAGTAATTATAACCCTGATAAAACCATTACAGTAGCAATACTAAATGGCTGCTTTGACTGGTCATTGCCCCTACTGCTTTTGCTGGAGGTTCTGTATTGTGTTGGGCTTGTGTGCTGCGCTATAAACTATCCTGTTTGGTGCTGAGGGGCTATGCTATACTGCACTATGCGGTATGGCTATGAGCTTTGCTGGGCTGTGTTGTGTTGTGTGCTCTGTGTTTTATCGATCTTTATTATATTATATTGAGTACTGTGATGTTCTGTGATTTAAACTGTGCTGCACTGCAGAGGGCAGGCTGATAGAACTGGCCAGTACTTTCAATTCTAACCATATCTGCATCGACAAGTTGAGATATCGATATGGGTCATTAAGAGGCCGGTTTTTGGCTCAAACTTGGCACACTGGAGCGCTGCCTAGAGGTTAGTACTGT